CTTAATTGTCAGAGGAGTGCTAAATCATTATATATTCAGGCTGCGATCTGCATATCAAAAGGGAATCATTTATGTTTACTGATTGAAGACTAACTAGATTACATGAACATTTAAAAGCCACACAATATTACAGACTAAGTCTACTCTATTAGTTTTAAAATATCTGCCACAAAACGTCTGGGAGAAAGCACAGACACCCTCAGGACAGAGCTGTTGATGATGTTGCCGTTGCTGCCTCGGTGGGAGTTGGCTTTAATGTAATATTGTGATATTTCATTCGATTATGCTGATTTGATTGTGCAAGGAGATCCATCCTGCCTGATGTCTCTCGATATCCTTCCAAAGCATTTTACTTTATTGGCTTGTTGGTCTACCCGCCAGAATTTCAATGATTGTTCGATGGTATTAACGCACCATTTGAATGCAGAGCCTGAGGTTGCTGGGGGGAAAAAAGCCATGTGGTGGGAGCATGAATGGAATCTGAAAGTCAGATGTCAGAGGAGTCACTGGAGGGGAGGAATTTTCTCCAAATGCAGATACTACACTAGAGTGGAATATCAAATGTCCAAATCTCTTTTTCCTCTTTCTTTTCGAGTATGACACAATAAAAAAAAAAAGAAGCTGTTCTCATTCAAACAGCACCAAACTTACAATAACCCCCTTCACATTTATCAGAAAGGGTTCTGCCTTTATGAGAAAAAAGCCAAGCGTCTATGCACACATGAAATGAATGGTTAACAGATGTGCAGCGCACCTGTGATCAAACCGCAACTGTCATTCTTCTCCACTGAATCACAGAGTGTTTGACAGAGAACAGAACAACCCATTATTTCAGGACTGATACATTTAGTATGAGCCACCATTCATGTTATCTACTTCATCTAGTCCAGAAAATCTACAACATCAAGGCCAGAAATGCTTCAGATGTTTACATATCCAACTGTGTTTAAGCTGGCAATGGTAATTTTTGCTAATGCAACAGTAATTAGCGCTATCACAGACCTGGACGTTTAATCAAAACAAAGTGCATCTAACATCAAACATCTCTTCTACCTGTACTACCAGTGAGTCATTACATGGGGGAAGCAATTCATTTAGTCATACAGAGGTGCCAAGTCATTTACTGTCAGCACGAGCTGTTAGTTCAATGTAACTTCTAGCTGCAGAAAATAAAAACACAGAGGAAATCTAAAGAGAGGTATTTTATTTATGCAAACAGGAAATGTTTTCAGGACCTTGTTTCCTTACAGTGTTCCTCCAAGGTTCCACGGTAACATCTCCAGGTTTATATTGGACTGACAGGTTATTATTTTTTCCACAAACATACTTGAGCTACTACAGCACAATCTTTAAAAGAAATGCACCCCAGATCTGGAAATACTGCAAACACTAAAACACAAGAATGAAACACAAATATTTAATGAAAAAGTGAGAAAGCAGAAATGTGCACCAATAGAAACTTTAGGGAAGAAAGTAGCAGCAAGGACAGTAAAGTTAAGGAAAAAAACACAACCGCTGTATTCATAAAACAAACACAAAGAGAACAGACAGCTTTGTTATTCGATGGCACAAAGGAACAGTCATGTTGGAACTCAACACTGGTCATTTTAAAACTCAGCCTGTTAGACAAAGTTGAGCTCAGCTTGAGGAGCAACAGCCAATAACCGCCACTGCCATTGTCTGCGTCCATATACATGTGATTTACATGTGCAGCTGCAGGATTCTGAGCCAACCATATGCTAGTAGACTATAGTTAGTATGTACTATATGCATTAAGAAAACTGCAGTATTGATAACATCTTACTGACAAAGATGACTGCAGATAACGGGCGAGCGCATATAACCTAAAAGCACCAACGTGCTACATCCTACAGCACAATGTATAGTATATAGTCTGCCACAACATAGTCGTTTTGTTTTACTGTAACCTAGTCTCTCAAAGCTGAGAGATATTGTTACACTGTTAAAACAGAGAAGCAATACCACAAATATTTTTGAGGATAGAGTTTTGAATCTCTGATGAGCATCACTAATCACAAGCTGGGTCACAGCACTGAGGAAAACGACAGAAGATGGCTGCCAGGAGAACTTTTTGTACAACCCTGTTTTTGACTGATAATAGCACCGTTCATGGACGCATCGTATCTAGATGTTTTAACATGATTCATCAGGTTCATTTGAATTCAGAAAGTACTCCCTCAACTAAACAGTATCATCTCACCCCCCATCAATCCATTTTTCTGCCTACTCGTTTAGAGGTCTGCTCAAAAGCCATTTATCTGCTCATACTAAATTATAATTGGCATTCTAATAGCAGTAAAATGACACCGATAAATACTCAGCAATCATAGAAACCACAAGCACTTTAGAATTGTACCCCTTTCTACTAAAGTGGGTATTTTCCTCTTGAAATCATCAATGACTACAAAAATTCACGCCGATAAATGCATGGATGAGATAAACCCCCACCATTCTCACTTCTTCCATGAAATCACCCTTTTAAATGCAAATACTCAGGAGGCAACTGGCTTCTTATCATACATTTCATTGTCTTCTTTGAGGTGTTTTGCTCTGCATCTGCATGTAATTGCGCAGGCACACACACACACACCACAACCTTACAGCTCACAGTGGAACAACGCAGCTTGAGAATAAATTACAGCCAAAACACTACTAGGTATTAGGTGAGAGGACACTTAGCAGCAGTATATACACACAAGTACAAGAAGAGAAAAGTGAAATTTACTCTGGTAGATAAAAGTAGTAGGTTCTTTAACTGGATATATAGTGTAGGTGAGACCAGCTGGTCTAATGATCTTAGCTTTATTTTGCATCTCTCTGTTGTGTCTTAGTGGCTGCAGGGTTTTTCTTTCCATTGTCACATAAATATTCAGTTTCAAGTGGCATCATAAACCAGACTGAGCATTTAGGAGAAAAATTTGAAAGTGCTGGCAGTACATGGTATTACTACAGTATGCATGCTCCTGTTTGCCAAGACAAACTGGTCTTCAGGTGGGGAGCGGGGATGAGGGACAAACAAGCACTGGAAGTACGTCTAAATAACAGCACAACATTGCTGCCACCTGCAAAAACATCTCTTAACACTGCCTCAGCGAGAACCTCCACTACTGCAGATTACTAAAGGAACCTCATAATGCTCATGACTAGATTTATTGTAGCGCAAGCTTTATGCTGCTCTCCCAGGTGCAAATTAAAAACAGGACCATGAGCTTATTGTTGTGGAGTAACAGTGCCATCCAGTGGCCAATGGGGAAAACTACATTTCATACTATTTGCATGTTCATTCATTCCCAAAAGATACCGAGTGGGAATAGCACAGGTCTTTGTTTTTAATTTAGCATTAAACAGTCTGCAACTGCATTCCAGTATGGAGTAATAATACACCATGGTTTGAATGGTTTACTCAGAACAATACATCAGGTTTAAATGAGAGAGAATCTTAACTATGTTGTAAAGAAATAAACCTATCTTAACCATTCTCTGCTGCAGAGGGCTTTTTCCCATTGCTTGCTTTCATCAGAGCCTTGATGGCCCGAGCCCTCATTTCCAGCTCCAGAAGCTCCAGCTGCTGAATGGACGGCTGACATACTGCAGGTGCACAACTCGGCGGTGATCCTCCTCTGACAGGTAAACTGACATCTGCGGAGTGCAGCGGTACACTCTCTTCTCCAGCTACGTCTTTGTTTGAAGTGGAAGAAAAGGCTAAAATCTCACTAACGCTTTTGTCGATGTCACTTTGAATGTCTTTCTTTGCCTCTGTCGGCTGAGAGCCTGCTGGAGGCTCTGGATCAGCTGGGCCTGGGTTCACAGCTGGGGGAGCAGCCTCCCCTCTGCCGTCCCCTTCTTTTACTGTCCCAGCCATAGCTTTAACAGTCTGCTCCTCTTTCAACCCCTCAATGTCACTATCATACGCATCTGCATTTATGCTTAGAACGTCACTCTCCTCGCCTGAACCACCACCCTCTGTAAAGAAAAATATGCATTTGAAACGCAATGATATTACAAATAAATTACCTTGTTTAGGTTCTTCAGATTTAGCTGTTCCCTTGAGGCAAGATGTAGAGTCTACATTATTGTCTTGCCTTGGTGGAGAAAATTAAAATAAACACAAGCATGGGAATATACACTGCTTTCACTTTGAAATAATCTGTGCCTTGAATTACTGAGCCAACTGCTCACTCACTGGCTTTCCAAGGTCCCCTCTGTGTTTCCAGGTGTCAGTTCTTCGCCTACACAATAAACAATAGCATTAACTGATTGAAAATAAATGAACTGGAATACTGAGGTATGCAGTGCAGAAAGTACATCGCTGTGAAAAATTAAAGTCTTACCTGATAAGATCTGAATCAGGTGCTTCTCTGAGATTGGCTCCAGTCGCTCCCAGCACAGCTGTTTGATTTCATTCAAACTACAGTCCTGTGAAGGATCACGTTGTTCAATAGTATCTTTGAAGGTGCTTCAGTAGCCACCAAAGCAAACAGCCAAAGCCTGAGGCCTTATTTCTCTATTGGAGCTTGAGCTCCATCGCTAATTTGCAGCTACAGATCTTAATCTTACTACCCACTACAAAGCCACACTTTTCTGATGAGTTGTAGAAAAATAAAATGTAGACAAGGAAACGTTCAGTCAACTAATGTACAGCATGTGCACAATAAGAATTTCATTGTACAGGGAAACACGTTTCCTCACTGTGCATACGACAATAAACCCTTGACCATAATATATGGTATATATAGAACGAAGTATTAAACAAAACTTTCTGTAGATTATATGTACTATAGCACACCGGCTGGTGATGCTGGAATTTAGCCAACAGTGCAGCCAAATGTGACCACAGCATATTCCAACATATCTAGGAAAACACTTACCAGTGCAGACAATGGGTGCATCACAAGCAAATGTCCACAGGAGTGTGACAATGAGTAAGACATTTGTTAAACTTTGTGTTGGACAGTTTAGAGACAACCTTTAATTAAGTTTATTACATTTTGACTGCTGTAAAATGAGGATGAGCCATTTTTCAGGCTGGTTCAGGTAAGCCTCTGTCCTTCAGGAGGCAAATACACTTCAATCAATCATTGCAGTGAAAACAAACATCTGTTTTAGGCAAGTGTAAAAGCTTTCAAGTGTTTATGTTCAGCCTGTCTTACCTCAGGCAGATACTAAATATATAACACTGACTCCAATGGCCCCCAAATCACCTTGAGTTCATCAGGTAGCATCTTCCGTAGCTTCTTCTCCCCCAGTGAATGAAAACACTGCTCCAGCATCTCCCGCTTGTCTGTGACATATGCAGTGATGGGCTGAAATGGCAGGTTGAGGTCCAGTCCCCCCTCCTCAATGTCACTGCCAATACGGTCCAGCTCTGGGTCAGCAAGCTCATCTTTGGAGTCCTGCTTGAGAAAGCCAGCAAGTTTGTAAACTGGTATTAAGGAGTCATGAGTTTCTTAATCTGTATCCATATACTGTACACTGCATACAAACTTAAGTGTTAGAAAAATATTTGTCAACAACTTAAATAAGACCCAATTTAAATTACTCAAGCAGTTTTGTTTTGCATACTTTACGCATAAAACTATAAATATTTACAAAACAGTTTTACTTCACTGGTGAAGAGCATCTTAATCCTGGGTCAGAAATACACCCAATATAACAGGAATGTATATGTTGCATTATCCTGAGAGATGTCTCTAATGTTTAGGCTGCACTAATTACCGATATTTCTATTTTATTTTGACAAGTACTGTTTTACTTTGGCCACAAGACGTTGCCATAACGAGAACAGCAACATATAGTAACAACGCAGGTGGCAAAAATGACATGATTACTGACCATTATCCTGTAGGACGATTTCTAGCATGTTTGAAATGTATAAACTGGATGCACAAAATATAAGAAACGTCTCACAGAACATAATCCAATTCAACAGTTCCACAAACTTTCATCTCAAACATAAACACAAAACAGTTTAGGCGAAAAATGTAACTAATGAAAGTGGTATTTAATGCAGGACAGCTGTATTAGACTGCAGTCGTTATCTACATACACCTGTTCGATTTAGTGATAAGTTAGTCACAAGAACACCTGCGTCATGACACTCAGGGATGCAAATACTGTTAATATCTTACCTCCAGATTCGACTCCGTACTCCTGCGTTTACTGTTGTCATGTCGCTCTTCAGACTGCGAGTATTTTCTTTTCTTCTCAGCACTACTGGATTTCTTTTTAAACATTTTAACCAAAATTAAACAATCTAATTCTCCATAAAACCGCTCCTTAGTGGACGTAATAGCCGGCGCAAGGAAGTTGCGTCATTAAAAAGCGACATCTTGTCATGTTATCGCCATAAACCTGCCCAGGTTTTGTGCTACCGCCACCTGCTGACCGGGAGGGTTGCTGCTCGTCTGGTTACTCCAGTCCTCGGGCAAAGAAAATCCTGAATAAATGAGAGTTGTTTTTTTTCAAGGTCACTGATCAGTCTGCTGATGATTTTCTTTAATTATTTATTTTTTATTCACACAATGTTTTTTAACAATTTAAAACAAAGTGTAGACATCTATAGAGTCCTCACATTTAATAAGGTGTAAACAAAAATGTTGATTTTCTAAATATTTTCCAGAAATGACTAATGGTTGCAGTTCTAGGCCTAATGAGTATGACAAAGTGTCAGCAAGATAGATAGATAGATAGATAGATAGATAATTAATTCTGAGGAAAATTCAGGTATCAAGTAGCAATAATTACCAAAATCACAGCACCCAAAATCATATTCTGTCAGTCTTAAAGCTGTACACTTTTACAGTGAGAGGTGCTATTTGTGTGACATCTCCAGCTGCTCATGGAAGTGCTAATACATTCAAACTGTGTCCCATCATTTTATACTTCAAAGCCAGCTCGGATTACTAGTGACAATCAATCACAACTCCTCTTCCTGCATTTCACAGAATCTGTACATCTCCCACTTTGCATCCATCTCACCACTCCATCATCTACTGTATCAGTTTCATTACTGCAAAAATCCTCAAACATCCAAACCACTCCTGCTGCTCATCTACATCATTCCAGTTTTCCCATTTTAAATAAGACAGAACTATCCTCTGTATATTTGTGTCAAAGGATTTTGGGGTCGCACAGTTGCAGCACACACGTCATTCATATTTGCACAACTTCAATAGGTTATGCTTGTAAAACAAAGGTGCTATATGTACAAATGTATTGTCTATTGCTTTACTGCATTATGTAACCAAAATATGTAAAAACTATAACTATACAGAGACAGATAATTTTTAAGTAGGTAAACATGACAAATCCTGCCCTGTGACATAAATACTACATTCAAGACTAAATTAGATGTATATAGATAAGGAAATGACTTTAAAAATTTTTCTCATCAAAATAAAAAGATCAACATGAAGATAGGCATATACTGCCCTGAGTAGGTGCTTTTTTTTCACAGCTAATTTTAATACATTTAAAGAATTTTTAATAACCCGAGACTTTGTAGAAAGCGACACAATCTTCCACCACAAAAACTCATAACTTAACTTAAAGGATAAGTTCATAATAACTTTAAACGCTCTCCTGTGTGGAGCAGAATGACCTAACATTTCACCAGTAAACAACTCTGCGGCTCTCTTCAGCCTGCTCTCCTTATTACCACCCAGGTAGCCATGTATTTTCTTTAGCTGGACCGAGGCACAGGTTTCAAGGTGGTGACGCCACAATGAAGCTGTAAATCACTCTAATTGGCTCCCCCGCCTCTGCCTGAAATAAGGTGGGAGCCAATGCGGTAGCTGCCCGGGCGCCATGGCGACAGCTGTCTCCACATAATGCAGGTTGTTATCCTGATGCCATCCTCCACATTATGCAGTGGCTACGGCGGGTGGTGTGCATCGATCACAATCACGTCACAGTGTGTTTTCTTTGTAACATCTGCTCCCATGCGTCTGGATATCACCTCATTAAAAGGACAAGGCTGGAGCTGGCACTGCTGAAGGGGACACTGCACGCTGGAGCCATGGAAAGGATCAGAAAAACAGCCACACTGTGGATGTAGATGTGCATACCTGTGGCCAAACCAGTTCTCACAAAATTACTTGGCAAAGCTTTATGATGAACGACAGGTCTGCTCTCAGTAGCACATTATTACACCTCTTAAATTAGACAGAGCTCATAGAAACTGAGTCCTGATGATTCTGTGTTCAAAGGAGCCAAAAGTATCTGTTGATTACACATCCAAGGCTCTGTTGTCCAGTCAGGGCATTTAGCTAGTCAAGAGATGTGTAGCAGTAAGCTGAAGGTGTTTGCTATCATTTTTTTAAATGTTTAGTTTAGCTGCATAACACGTTTAAAAAATAAATACAAGAGTTGCAGAAAGAGAAAATAATCAATTATTGAAGGTGAGATTAAAAAGCTAGAGGAACAGTGGAGAATATCTCACCTTAAATGTAAGTAAATAAGAAACTAAATGAAAACAAGGTCAAGAAGAAGAAAATGAAATAAAAACATGATACAGAATAAATATGGTTCAATCTGATGCAGGATAAACTACGAAACTGAAAGTTAGAGTACAATATACTGTAGTGTAAAGGTGACTATGACTTTAAAGCTGAAAAGGAGGGAGAACATATATAGTTGTAGTTACATTCTCTGGCAATAATATACTTTGATTGCATTCAATTAGTCATATCTGGACAGGTTTACATGCACAATAACACAATTTTTGCACAACCGAACCAAAGTCTTGTTGCTACATAAACTCATCTAAAACTGTTAACTGCCATTACACACTGCTTGCTTAAACATTGTGATATTTTCAAAGAAGCCTGTCAAGTCAATTAATTTCTTCACAGAAAAACTGTTCATTTCAATTGGAACGCACAAATAAACCATATTCTGGAGCTTAATTAAGCCCACGTCAAAGCACTTCTCACATTCTGAATAGTTGAACACATTCTTGAAGCCACATACAGTAAGTGATATGTGTGAACAGACAGCTCTCCAATTAACACCTGTCCTTGACAAATCAACACTTATTGACAGCAGGATGTTTTTTTTTAGTGTTGAATAGCAAATTATCTGCCAACTTTGCTAAAGTGAAGCTGTGCATTTTAACAAAAATCACTTGTGACATACAGCACTTCAGACTGAGCTCCAGAAAAAGCTATGTTTTAAATCTTTTATTACAAAGTATTCCACTTCCCTTTACTTTCCCACAAAGGTCAAAACTGCTTCTTAAGTGCTGTAGGTGACTTGTTTTATTTAGGCTTTGAAGATAGGTCAAGCGGCACAACTTGGAATTGTGAGGACAATATGGCTACTTGAGGTGCATCTTTATGCACATCACTGGAGTGTTCAGAGAGGAAATCTCACTGCAGCTCCACAGTTGAAAGAATCTGCAAGCAGAGGTTTTAGCTCAGACCACTTTACTGGCTGCCCAGGCTGGTCCTAGCTCTGCTTTCACTGAGTATCCTCAGCTGTCATCCCCGACAACAGTTTGCTTTTTCAGCTTCAATTACCTTTGTACAGTGTTGTGCAGCAGGCTTGCAGCTGTCACCAATTACATTCATCTAATACATTAGTTGTCACTAGTTATAAAATTATAACCAGTGGATAACATGATGTCTTCATTACTAGCCTTGTTCACACTTTAGAGAAACAAGGCGCCCACTGCTGTATATCTATTCACCTTAGAAAAACTTGTTCGAGTTTGGGGCTCTAACACTGTAGCATGTGATCAGGTGACGTTGATGGGGTTGCTGGAGCAGCTACTTCATACTTTGACTTCATTACATTTTAGAGGCAAATATTTTACTTTATTACATTGGTCTTAGAACTTTATTTACTAGTTACTTTTCAGAACATGATTAATACAAAATATTCAGTATGATTATAAAACTTTATTGCTCGCTGGTGGGAAATTCACAACCTACCCAGCAGTAGATCACATTATAAGCATATAAGGTAGCCTAATTAAAATTATTGCCACCTTTACCAGCTGCAATGTTAAGAATTACAGCATGTGCACAATAATGCATTATAATCCAACCATCCATTCTTATCTATACCGCTTATCCTAACGAGGGTTGAAGCAGGGATGACAACCACACACACTCACACTCACTCCTAATAATATGATATGCAATATTGTTAAATGAGCCATTCTGCATAATGACTAGTTTTACATTAAGTACTTTAGGTACATTTTGATGCTAATACTTTTGTAATTTTACTTAAGCAACATTTTAAATGCAGGACCTTTATTTGTAACAGAGTATTTTGACTTTGTTGTATCGTTGCTTTTACTTAAGTGAGGTATCTGGGTACTTCTTCCACCACTGTGTTGGAGTAGCACTTGTCCTGGTTGATATTACTAGTACTTAAAACAAAATATTCATGTTCACATTATTACAATAATTTATACCAATGGCAACGAGTTAAAACATCTCAAATGCATTCACAAGAATGATTGAGGAGCTTGACTTGCATCAAAAAGATCATATATTATCACTGCTATGTCAACATGAACGGTCACATAATTAATATATGTTGCACATACTGAGTAAATATTCACACTGAGCAGTTTGAGGCCATCAGTACTAAAGAACTACTACCTGTGGGTCAAGATCACAGTACAACAGCTCTCCTGCTCCTCTCCTTCAGCAGGCTCTTAACTTAATTATCAGGTGTTCTCACTTCAGCAGCAGCAGCTTTTCTTCATGGTGCTGCTACAGTGGGTAGTTTGTTAGAGGGCTACAAAAACAAGGCAGTGTGTACACAGGTGTTGCCTTGAGTAATTAAAGCCAGAGATGTCTATTAAAAATCTATTCATTGCCTCACACCGAGGTCTCGGAGCACCATGGCTCATCATCAACAACACTGAGAATAGCAGTCACTCCTGAGTGGAGGTGATTTGAATCAGGTGGGATTCAAAACAGGCTCTCACAGTGTTGCCTTCTGACTTATATTAGTCAGTCTGCACTATAGCAGAGGCCTCTATTAAGTATTCATGACCCTCTAGGTGCTGAATTAGACATGTTAGAGTGCACCAGCCTTGTTGAAATAAGCCAGAAACCTAGGAGCTTCGAAGGATCCTTACGGATGAATGTTTGACAGACAATACTGCCTAAAGATTTGAAGTTTCAGTTAATATACAGGTTATAATACTAAAGTATAGTAACATTAAAGTATAGTAAAGTACTTTAAGCCCTTCATGGAGACCATACCCATCTGAAAAAACTAGAGGAATAGTGAAAAGATGCTGTGGGACCTCAAAGAGAGCCTCTCTCTCTCTCATTTTCTATACTGCTTAGTCCCAAACGGGGTCGCGGG